AATTATTAATAAACATGTGTCAATAATAATTACTGCTGCTGACTGCGCCGCCATTATCAGCTGAATTCGCTTACCAAAGAGACGGCGGTTGACTTCGTGTAAATAGCAAGTCAACCTTTGCATGCGCAGCATCGAGTATATAACCAGAAATAGAGTCGAAATAAGGACTATATATTCCTGGTAACACATTAGCGATACAGCTCTTATAAATATCAACTCTCGTTTGCACTGAAATATAGACATGCCAACTAGTGACCTGTGTGTACGTCTCCGTATATTCCAAAAAATATTGTGTATTTATTGTAAATATATCTAACAATGCCGTGCTGTTCTATTCGGTGGTGTGGGAAAAATAGCAAAACACCTAATTACAAAACAAACAGAATCACATTTCATCGGTAAATGAATATAAATATGTAATTTTGCAATTTTCGTCCATTATAGCAAAGCTCATATTATCTGGTCGATTTGAAGTGAAACAGTTGACGACACCCATTGACGACACCCGTCAATTGCTTCGAATTCGGGCTAGCCAGTCGGAGCGCAGTTGTCACAGTAATGATATGGCAGAATACTTTTCAAAGAAATAAATGACATTTCGTCTCTATTTCTGATTATATACTCGATGTTGCGCAGGTTGAGCACATTGTATGCCGAAGGCAGTAGTCGATAAACACGCTACACTCGTTACGTGTAATCCAGGTACCAGGATGTTACAAATTCAACTCTACTTTGAACATATTACATTAAAAAAATATAATTATGATGTACCAATGATATTCTATGAGTACCAGAAGCACAAATAAATTAGCTACGCTTCATAGTCGTATTCACGAAGTCACAAAGGGCCAAAGTAGGTATATGAGCTTCTAGTATAATAAGATTCTTGTTAATATTAAAAATTGCCTTTTACGAGGTTTATGTCTGTCGTAAACCAAAACTTAATACAGCAGGTTACAATACATGCAACAGTTACATAGTATTATGCGTTGCTTAGATAGGAGCCGTCCTATCACAAATAATATGACATATTTAATTAATTATTGTAAATGATAAACGTGAACCAACTCGTCTTTACAAAAAAGAATCCTAAGACTTGCTCACACATTCTGAGTAACAGCGTTTATTCAATTCGGCGGTTTCAAGTGTACGTAGCTTTAAAATTTTTCAATTTCTCACACTCTGGGTATTGTTAACTTTTCTAGCAAGTCTAGCCACGTAAAATAAAACAATTAATACTCATGTTGAGGTCCTTTAATAATTTTTGTTACAAATATTAAATATGCATTAAATAGAACAGTCAAGAGCACATCAAGTTTGACTCTTTGGATTTTGGACCATTCTTATCGCGAACGGAGCGTATGAGTCGAATTGATATCTTAAGTGTGAGGCTTGATGTCCACTTGACTCTGTACAAATAAATACTTGATTATGTAATTGTATACTACATACGAAGATTTATATTTTTCATACAATTACGAAAGTTAAGTTGGATAAGTATAAAAATGCATAATTTTCGAAATAATAGGTAAGCCTGGAGTTATGAAAAAAACTTCTAAAAATATTAAAATGCCAACATTTTATATTTACTATAAATATGACACACAATAAAATATACTAGTATTTTTGATACCTGTATAAACATTCATTGCTTTTCGACAATAGCGGCTTAAACAAAAATAGTTCAATTTCTACTTATCATGCAGCTGTATTCAGAACATGCAAAATTTTCTTGTGTTTAAGGTACCAAGCTTTTTATTGGTTAAAATAGTAGAGATAACCGCTTTTACGATTTGCCGGCCTCAGTTATTTTTATTATTTCCTGATAAACCAGAGGTGTTTTTGAGATAGGCCGATAGTCTAGAAAGTGAGATTAAGTAAAAGCAAAATTTTGGTAAATGCGTAAATTCTTATCGAATATTACATAAAAAATACGAAAAATAATGCCCGGTACATTTTCGTATTAAATAAAAACGAAATAGACTAGACAACGGACCATGTGGTACGTATTTATAACACAGATTTATTTAGAAAAAAATAGTTATTCTTACAGTCTATCTTCGCACTAAAGGTAGCAGGGGCTGCTACTCCGCCATTTATTGCTCCCACTAAATAAGTAGGTAAGTAAAGTGCAGTTGAGTGAGGACCAATTAGAATACCTCTCAAATCCTAGACAAAACAATGAGCAGGCATGTATAGATAACAGATTTAAAATACGAATTTGTTAGTCTCAGAACAAAAGTTGTTTGTTTTAATGATAATAATGCCGTATTAACGTGTTGCGAATAATTTCAAAATAACCTTGTAGAAATAGAAATCATTACCCGAACTAGGTGATTGATAAAACAATTTTACTTTTTACTTTTAAAATTACAAGAGTATTTCTAAAACAAACCATAATTAATAGCTTAAAAAATATTCTTGTCTAATACCTACCTAACGTTAATAATTAATGCCTTTATCATACTACGTTATGAATGACTAAAGGCGTTTTTTAGTCCAATAAAGATAAAACGTAACGAAAGTAACCGCTGAGCGCTCGCCAACTATCCAGCACAAAGTAGACGGCGATAAAGATTTCATTGAATGAGTCCTCGCGGTCAAAGCGCAGCTCTTTCGGCGCATGTGCAACTGTACACGAGTTTCGCAGCGATAAGGGAAAATTTAGATGACAAGTGTTAGAGGCGCGTTATAAGTATCTGTTTATACAAAGTCGACTGTCGCGTCTTCGACAAGCAAATCCTTCATGAAACTGATTAGGTAGGTATTCTCCGACCAGCTCTAGAGCATCGCGGTGGGACGCGTCTGAAGCCAAGTTGCAACTCGTTTGGGCAACCGTCTCGATTGCCGTACGCATCCGAGTCGCTAATGATTACTGATTTTACACTTAATCGAGTCAGTCGACGTCCGTCACGCTCGATAGCGAAATATGGTCGTCAAACAACTTCGTGTTTACACTGGGTATGTTGTTGTCTTTGGCGGCAAATGCGTCCTAACGCTTGTCATCTGAATCAGGTCACATGCGCAACAAAATACTTAAACAACTAAATAAAAAAAAACAGTTATAAATACAACAAGATCATTGTTTACTTTTGTATTATTCTGTTTTACGCTTATACTAATTACTTATACTTATTACGTACACTATAACATCCTACTAATAAACAAATTATTCTATTTAAATACATTAACATGTTTACTACGTCGCCCCATATAAAGGAATAGGCATACAATAATTTATTAATAAAATTCTAGAAACTACATATTTTATCATTTGCTACATTTTATCACAAGTTTTTTTCGAAATATTGCTATGTGTTTTGTTATACCGGGTGGAAATTGTAATGCCACCTGGAGGAAAAGTACTCTAAATACTGGAGATAGAATTTTTTACTTAAAGGAAACATTCGTTTATTTTTTAAAAGAAATAAAACTGTATTCATAGATTTTCGAAAATTTCAAGCAACACGCGGGAATCGAACCCGCTTTAATCTAAAAAAAATGCACCCTGCACTTTTATTGCATCGATCGATAGGGTTAAATTATAAGAATAAAGTCTCTCTCATAAAATTGGTTAATTAAATGAAAAAAAGAACCATGAAATCTTAACGAAAAATTAATAAAACGAAAAAAATGGTTATCTGACTCGTTTACACTCGCATAGAATTTAAGATAAATGCGAGATCACCAGATCTCACCCCTTTAGATTTTTTTTGTGGGGTTATGTTAAAAATCAAATTTACCTTAAATTCTATGCGAGTGTAAACGAGTTGAAGGCTGAGGTTCAGAATACGATTTGTAATACAATTCATCACAACACGTTATTAAAAGTTACTCAAAATGAATTCGTTAAAAGATTAAATTTGTGTATCCAAGAAAATGGAGATTTTATTCTTATAATTAACCCTATCGATCGATGCAATAAAAGTGCAGGGTACATTTTTTTCAGATTAAAGCGGGTTCGATTACCGCGTGTTGCTAGAAATTTTCCAAAAACTTTTAAAAAAGCAGTTTAATTTCTTTTAAAAAATAAAGGAATGTATCCTTTGAGTAAAAATTTCTACCTCCAATATTTAGAGTACTTTCCCTCCAGGTGGCATTACAAATTTCCACCCTGTATAATAGGAATAGTCGCCTTAGAGTGAAAACGCGTTACGACGCGCGCGTACACATATTTCTCATAGTTCGTTTTCACTGATTGTTGTTGAAGAAAAGCTTATAAAGTATCTGAAAGAGGTATAATTTAACTAATTAAAATGCTAATTACAAACGTTATTGCGTTTACTACATTTTACACAACAATTTTATCTTCGCACTGAAATATTACATAGACGAGATTTTCACTCTAAAACGACGGTATATAGTGTCTTTAGAGCAAAAATTACGCTACGCTCGTTTTTTTTAATTTCAACTTGATTTTTCCAAGATCTAAGAAACAAACACGAAACAAACAAAGTTCATTCGCTGTTTTCAAATTATCATAAATCATTAGAAAACAAGTACTTTTTTAAACTTACGTATATAGTTTTTTGTACTAATTTCCATTATGACAATCAACTACAAATAATTATCGCCTTAAAGGTGTAAGCTAATAACCTGCGAGAATTGTATTTAAATTTCTGAATAGATAACTAGAATTAGCTTTGTGCACTAGCACATGGTGCGTATTCTAAACACTTGCAACTTGTATCATTAGTAAGAAAGTAAGCGCCATTCATTGAATAAAACTTTCAAAATTAAATGACGAACAATATAATTGTAATTGAAAGACACCGCGGATTCCCGGTTTTACCATTAGTGGGGAAAATCAGAGGTACTAACCTAACCCTAACCAAGGTAATAGGTTATTAATTAATGTCATTTTAAAGTAATATTTTCGAAAATAACGTTTGCATTTCGATTATCACCGTGAAAGTACTATTAATGAAAAAGAAATATCTAGAAAGTACTTTTTACCAGCAGTTGTTTCATTCAGAGTAAAACGGGAACTATAATGCGTCGTTACTCTTGATCTGTTTATCCTCTTTCTATCAATAAGATTATTGTTTTTAGTATTTATTTTTTAACTTTTGGTCACAGATATACGTTTTTAAATTTTCCATTGCCATTAAATATGCTATAAAAATTGTAGTCTTTCCAAAACCATACGTCAAACCGTTCCTTGTGAGCAATTATCACGATTTCACTTCGTCTCCCGACGTCTACAAACTCGATGTTTACAAACGACGTCTTTTCACACTTGGAGGGTCACACCCACTCGCCTGCAACGAAAAAATTCTCTTCATTGACCCGAATGAAACTAATCATTAGTATTGGGACTCGTGCCCAACGTATGTAAAGTAGAATGTTCGTAAGAATGTATGTTTTATGGGAATTGTATGTTTCCCTGAGTACACCGTTCGGTTGAGGTAGGTTGATGTAAAATATGTAAGGCACCGTACTGTCCGAAGGTTTTTATTGTACTAAATATATACGTATAATTAATTATACATAAAATGTAAGCGCAACAATGCGCACGATCAGCAACATATTTAGGTTAAGTTACGACATATCTAATGTACTGGTCGTACAATTAGGTTGTCGTTGTACACTGCAGAAGACCGGTTTCAGGACCCAGCCAAGAAAGTAATTACTAGAAACCTAAATATTACATGTAACAAGAAGGTGCCACTGGGTAGTTCCACAAAAGGGAAAATTTTAAGAGATCATCTCGTAGCCCCTTCATTTTTTAATGATGTATTTTCAATAGATCTCTAATTGGTTTCTATTTGGACACCGAAGATCAGCATTAGAAACGGCTTATAAATTTTAAATATTGCAACGTTGTAAAGTCGCAGCCGTATTGTTCATAGCGCCGTATTACATTAAGGCTACAAAACGGCGCTGTTTTCTAGTACGGCTACCTCGTGTTTCGCCGGATTGCAATTCGCTTAAAAAAACAGTACGCCGCATTGTAACAGCACGTGGCGTTTCACAAAGCGGCTTAGAAATGTGCCGCCGAAATACAATAGGGTGCGGCATTGTTACGCCGATTTGTGATACTTAGTTCCAAAAATAGCCGCCAGTAGCGCTGCATTATCATAACAACAAAAATGGCGTCGCAAACATCAACTGTATCTCAACAAAGTGCAAACTATATTAGTTTTAGGAGTAGAAAAAGTAAAAATATGCGTAAAAATAGTGAATAATGGTGAACATAAGTAACAAATTATTTCTCTTCTCATAATTTACTCTTGCTAAAAAAACGGGTAGGTAGTAATAAAAGCTCCGAAAAGTATAATTCAAAATATGAACATTACTGCGTTCTTTACTAAGCTACGAAAACTTTTGTGCAAATAAAAATATAAAAATAACCGAACGAAATACTGAAAGTTCCGAAAAATGTTGCTAACGCAATACTACTCTCGACCAACTTAATAAAATATAAATTTTGCTTAAAACTATTATTAGCCATTTTTATCCTAAATTATATTAATTATAATATGATTTAACTGAAAAGATTTTGATTTTGAGATTTGGTCCGTTGGTTCGTTTCGTGGCTTAGTTGGCATAGTGGACGCTATGCCAACTAAGCCACGAAACGGTTTATTGGAAGACACTGGTTCGAATCCAGCCCCGAATCAGATCGAAGGAAATTTTTGTTAGTGTCCGATCTTTGTATTAATAATTATAACAAACTAGTGGAGTAATTTCAATGACTTCAATAAAGTTTAGAGTTTGCCGGATTTACATTTCTCTGACGTGTCGTATTGTGACGTCAGAACGGTATCGGTTTCATATTATTAAATGTATTATTGTATAGGTTAAATTTATATTAGCGTTTCGCATAATGACGTGACGGCTTGTGCTGTGTGTATGAAACCATGTGGTGTTATAAAACCGCTACCGTTATGACACGTTATGACACGATACGTAAGCCCCATTAGTTTTGATTATAGTGACCCTCCCTACCGACCCTTAAGGTATACGAGAAGGGCACTATGACCTGCGCGAGCGAATCCGCACAGGGACCATCTAAGATAGGTCCCAACCCCGGATCAGCACGTTTCCACGGACTTCAACTTGGTTCTCTGTAAGGCTAGTGCTTTAAGTGAGCCGCCCCGGGTGCACGTACAGCTAGGGACACTGAAAAAGTGTCGATACTTTTTGGTATCGAGTACTTTTCCCTCCGATACCGATACTTTTCAGGTGTTAGTACTTTTTAAAAAGTATCGTAATCATTTCGAATAATTCCTATTTAGGACACTACTCATATAATAACGCAAGCCACCTAACGATTTTTTTTTAAATGGCAACGTTTATCACGAATTACTTGGCTGTATAGTGTACGCCACCATTTGCTTCTTTAGAAGAAGAAGAAGTTGGTCCCTTCTTCAGAACGTTTGTTCTCAAAAGCAGGAAATGCAGTATCAAACTGCCTCCGTGGCCGAACGGTTACCATGCCGGACTGCCACGCAGAGGTCCCAGGTTCGATTCCCGGGCCGGGAGAAATATTTGTATGACCTACATTTATTTCTCTCGTGAGTTTGGGTGTAATTTGTGGTTGTCTATGTGTGTGTCCATGGCACCCGCGACACAGGGTTTCCCTAGTGCGGGGCTATGTTGAGTGTGTGCGTTGTTGTTGTTAAAGACGAGAAACAGACCGTTACCAAATACATTTTTGTTTTTAAGTGATTGTACAAAGTAGGAGAGGGAAATTGAAAATTTAAGTAACACAAATTATGTGAAATGACGATTCATTGAATTGATCAAGTGATTGAATTAATCAAATTCTTTTGTTATTTGTTTCAACTAAAAATCATAAATCAATAAAAAAAGACAAAGACTTATTAATTCATGTGTTTTATTCTGTCTTTAAGTAGGGAAAACCTGTAGGATTAAAGTATCGATACCTCAAGGTAGTTATTGTTTCGATACTTTTATGAGTATAATACTTTTTAACCGCTACTACTCATGAGTACAGTATCGATTCTTTTGATTATTATTTTGACTAGATACTGGCACCGTCTCTATTTTCCAGATAGGTACCGGAGTTGTAGGCACGCTCACTTCCCGTCGAGCTCCGTACGACTAACGGTTGCCACCGCTGAGCCGCCGACTCTAAGACACGATACGTCAGACAAATGTAAATCCGGTAAATCTTAAATGTCAAGCTTGACGTCATCTTGACTCAGTACCTCTATTCACGACCACCGTTGCTGCAGCCGATCTCTCTCCTGCATAAGCAGTTCGGTCTCTTGCTTCAGCCGTTCGGTGGCCTGGTTCAGCCACTCGCGGTCCTGCTTGGTGCCTTCGCGCTCATTTTTCAATTTGGTTATTGCAAACACCATATCTGGAAGTGAAGAGGCAAAAACTTACACGTTACTTAAGAGTGACTACAAAATGTCAAGTCTACGTATAAATACACTGGAACTGAGTTAAAATAATATTTAATTAAAAACACTAACAAAGTTTTTTATAGAGTGAAAATAAGCTGTGCATTTTATAATAACTCTGTCAATTCTAATTCCATAATAACAATTATAATTTCAATATTCACTAGTTCGTTGTTGTAATTGAGACAAGGACCGAATAAGTAAAATGGCCCGCATCAGGCGAAAATGTCGCTGGTCCATCATGACCTATCGAATCCAAGGATTTTTTCTTTGAATTTGTTCGGTCTTTAATATCAATTATAACAATTTATAATTTGCTTCACAAAACATTCGCATGAAAGCATAGAACAAAAGCGCAGTTAAGAATAGCGAAGTAGAACAAAGAAAATTGTAATGACCAAAATCAAGAAATCGCTATGCTTCACTTAATTATAATATATGTACACGTGTGAGTATTTGAGAAACGTATAGTTATAATTTCGGTATAATGCACGCAAGCACGAAAAGTATGTAATTATTGTTTTCGGGTTGTGTTCATTCCGCTTAAAAAACAGGCATCAGCGTAGAGGAAGAAAATCTGATTAATCTGAATGGAAAATTATCTGATTGATATTGAATGAATGAAGAACGAAACTCTTTATCGCACACAAAATTACAGTGGTAACATAGAACAGTAACTGAAATTTAAAAATAGTAAGTTAATGTGTAAATGTGGCCGTATTGCTATGGAACAATATTTCCAGAAATCTGAAGGTAAAAATTTGGGATGTGCAAAATAGGTGCAACCAAAGAATATTTTCATAATTACACTACATAATAAATACTAATAGAATACATATCACTTAGATAGAATACGGATATATACATATACATAAATAAATAAATAAATAATAATATTAAATACTCTATTTATGAAGTGAGAATTATAAAACATACAATACAGCACATTAATGAATGGATAGGAGTAAAAAGGCGAAACTTAGGAGTTGAGGAAGGACATTGACGACTTTTAATAGAATACATATTACGTAGATAGAATACGGATACATACATATACATAAATAAACAAATAATAAAATTAAATACTTAAATACTTTACTATACACAATACAGCACATTAATGAATGGATAGGGGTAAATAGACTGAACTTAAGAGTTGAGGAACGGCATTGATGACTTTTGAATAGAATAATTAACACGTAGATAGAATACGGATATATACATATACATAAATAAATGAATAAATAATAATTTTAAATACTTTACTTATGAAGTGAGAATTATAAAACATAAAATACAGGACATTAATGAATGGATAAGGATAAAAAGACGAAACTTAGGAGTTGAGGAACGACGTTGATGACTTTTGAATAGGATACATATTATGAAGTGAGAATTATAAAACATAAAATACAGGACATTAATGAATGGACAGGGGTAAAAAGTCGAAACTTAGGAGTTGAGGAACGATATTGATGACTTTTGTCTGTAACAATTTATCAAAAGTCAAAGACATCGAGTATGTCAAAGAAGACATGCCGTATCAGCGGCAACAACAAATAAAATTGATAGTTTTTTTTTACATCGTTGCACAATGAATGTAATATTACAAAATACCCTTTTTTATAAAATGTCAGTAAGCATTTCAGTTCTCTCACCTGATGGAAAGTGATGTAGAGGTCGACGATGGTGGATGCACACCTTAATAATGCCTATTCACTCTCGCCTTGAAAAGGTCCAAGTTGTAACGTTCAGGGAACAAGTCTGCAGGCAGGCAATTCCACTCCATAGCCGTTCGCCATATAAGTGTGGATAAACCTTTGGGATTGGAACCTCGTAAATTAACTGTACTTACGATCCAGTTCAAAGTAGACAGCTTCATGCAATAGAAGTTCCATATGAGGGAAATCGGCGGGTAGCAGCAGTTTTTTATTGCGAAGGAAGTTCAAAATGTGCCGGAACATGTCTCCATCGCGATCAATGAAGTAGTGCTGCTTCAAAGTATCTAGGACTATGGGAATTGTTCCGTTGAACATCTTGCCTAGGCGCGATTCTGGATATCTGGAATTGAACATATGAATTTGTGAATGATTTGTTTTGTATATGCTGATTGGTAGTATTCTTATTACTTTGAAATTGGATTAACGAATATTATATCACGTTTTTCCATATTACGAGAGTGTTCCTAGGTATATGTTTTTTTATTACTATTATACCAAGTGACGGAATGAACAAGTCGTGCGCCTAGTGGTAAGCAATACGCCTGTCTATGGCAGGTGCAGTTGCGCTCAAAACTGAATCGCGAAGATCTGAGGGGTACTGCCATTACGCCCATCGCCTTTAGACATAAGTAGGAAAGTCCCCTATGTGCCTGTAATTTCACTAGCACCCTTACCTTTTAAAACCGAAACGCAGTAATACTCACATTACTGTTTGGCGGCAGAAATAGGCAAGGTGGCAGTATTCTTTAGACGAACTCTTTCACAAGGAGTTCTACTGCTATTAAACCGTAAACTGTATGTAATTATGGACTTAGGTATAATTCTGCAAACAGCTCATACTAATGTAAATCGATGCAACGATTTTGCGAATATACGTAAGCATGAGGTCTGTCGATTTCGACATATTGTACATCTGGCAAGATATTTATGTTCGTGCCCTCGAGTGAGTTGATTAAAAGAGCTGGCAGACTGAGGCGGGCGGGCGAAGGCGCAGTGTATATTCCGCAGGGCCCGCGGCGTCGCCGGCAGCGGCCGCACTGCCGCCGTCGAGAGAAGAATAACACGTTGGGAACAGATAAAACAAGCTTATTTACAACCCGGCCTACCCACGCACATAACATGCCTATATAAGGGGCGCGAAATTACTTTTCATGGAATTTAAATCGAATCTACTTTCACGCTATGTGCTGAGTTTAAAATTATTTTCATTGCTATCGAATTCCAGGAATTGGAATAAGTTGGGATAAGTAAGCGTTCATTCTTACGCGGTAAGAGTTTCCAGTGACGAAGTGTAGATGGTTCCTCCAACATCGATATGTACTGGCGCGTTGAATTTGGTGGTGGGGGCGACGCGGGGAATGCCCACAATCGGTTTCTTATCCATCGAAGAGCCATCCGGCTGGGGACTGCCTGGCTTAACGGGTAGCATATTCCTATGAAACATTGAAATTATTACGCATTAAGGTAGGTACAATCGATACAATCAATTAACCCTCTGCAACACACTGATCAAAGCATAATATTAAGTAAGTACTTCTGTAAAATTCTATAACTTTAGCAATAGTCGATAATTATTTAATAAATTATAGCAAACTTGCAAGGGCACAGATATCGGATGACATTATGTAAAAATTTGACAGACGGACGTGAGAAGTAGCACGGGCGCGGGCACAGGCCGAGCACCGTGGGAGCCGATGGCGACCCACTACCACCGCTCCCACGAGTCCCACGGCACTATCTACCATCATTAACCACAGTAATATTATGGTGTTACTCGTCCAGTAATTGAGTGAAAAGTCTTTGACGTTTGTAGGCAGCATTCGCTTGTGAAAATCTGTATCAGATTAAACGCTCAATGCTCAAAACCTTTTTTGTTTAACCGACTTCAAAAAAAAGGAGGAGGTTCTCAATTCGACTGTATGTTTTTTCAAAGTATACCACAAAATTACACTTATAAACAAATAAAAAAAAACAAAACAAAATTACACTTATAAAAAAAAATAAAAAATAAAATATACACTTAGAAATTTCGATTCTTAAAAAAGAAATTTCTAATAGATGCGTAGATGCGAATAACCAAATTCCAGTATAAGCAATAGTAGTAATATAGCTTTGATATACTAACGGACATTAAAGTTTCCGCTTTTTAGTTCGCAACCCTAAAACACTGCGTTATCATGTAGGTCTATATTTTATTATTATATTATATATATATATATATAATATTTTATTTCCTGAAACTCAGTATTCAGTATTTTTAAATTCAAATAAAAAAAATATTATGTATATAAGGCATATTTTCCCTCGGTTGTCGGTTCAGTAAAGCGTTCTAACAAGTATATTAGCTCCAAACCATTTAAATTAGTAGGTAAAGATAATAAATACTAACACACAGTGTTATACAAAGAGCAGGTTTCATGACTAAAAAGAGCACGGTCACCTTTCCATGCTTTGTAAATGTCCACACTTTTTGAACGCCTGACCAAGTCCGACTTCACTTGCTTTTTATCTTTTGAATGCATCTCGAGTGACGTCACCTGCAGTTTTATCTTCGCACCTTTTCATTCAAAAAGCTAGCTCGTATCTTCTTTTACAGTTTCATAGAAATGTAAAGTCTTAAGCCTCTTTCCTGGAAAGCCTATTTATGTAATTTACGTAAACTGCCGCAGGACCAAATTAAACTACTTAATTCATCAATTTTAAAGAAATGACAAATTAATTAGTGAAGGGCGATTTGTTACATAGATAGGCATTTTGAAGAACAGTGGTGCCGTGTGCAATCTTGGTCTTGACCAGCAGGTTGCCTTTAGGATTGACACATAACACCTCCCCTGAGAATAGGTACTATTTTTCATGCATATAGAAATGTTGCTGTGCTGACTCAGAACCCCTGTGTGAATATATGTTATTGACCGTAGGCTTGTCGTAAACATGTACATACTTCTGCAAAATTTATTGTCTTTTTTCAGTTGATTCTACATGGTACAAGTAAAATGAGTTCATAAGTAGTTCAGTTAATAGTGGTAAGATAAAGCAACGATGTAGATATTTCATTTAGAGACTCTCTATACTCATTAATACGAAATCGATCTTGAGCTGGTCAGAAAACGCTTTATATCAACGTAATAAGTGCGAAATAGACGTTATACGTTTCGCTTTCGCTGGTACTGCCGATGCAAAACACACGTCTTTTTCGCTCTTAATACCATAGGTATAAGGCTGTTACTAACCGGCTTAATGTGACACCCAATCAATAGGTGTAGTGACTTCCTTGGATGGAGGATTACGCCTTCTCAGTGATCATTTGATATTGACTGCCTCGTAGTTGATTCAAGTTGATATGATAAAGTAATGTATAATCTCAAAATCACTTGAAGATTACTCCGATTACTCCGATTTTAGCTTTTAGCAATAAAAATGCAAGAAATTCATTTGACTTTTATCTAACCTACAATGACGTCGAAATTAAAGTATAACATAATTTATAAAACAAAAGACATTTAGTTGATCCGAGAAACGAGTGCACGTAAAGCATTATTTATTGTGTTCACAGAGTTTGACGTAGGTAGAGAATGTATTTAGAGTGTATGTATATTTAAAATTTGGTCACGTTAAAATATAATCTCTAAATCTAAGGGGAATTATTTCACGTCTAGTTAATAAACATTTAATGTGTAGTGTTTTTCCATATGGAATGTCCTGAAATAAATAAATAAACATGCATTGAATAGCAGTCGTTTAAGTGACGAATAATCTAAACGGTTAGTAATTTTATACTTAGTCCAAAAGGACATAAATAAAACATAAAAGGAAATAAACGAAAACAAAACTTATTTCCTTAGCTGTGATTTTATTAGGAGCGATCCCATTCTTTGCAAGTGATAAAAACTTGTAGCATATTAAATGTCAATTCATCATCGTGCATTTCTAATCTTTGGCTCATACCGCTCGTCACAAAGTGTGCGTACAGTCGGGGCTTCGTCACTCGCTCAAGATTACACGATAAGTGCCCAGTTACAGTTGAGTGCATCGACGTCGGTGCAAGCGCTGAGAGAGTGTGACACGCACTTCTGAATGGTCGTACGGCACGTTTCGTAAAAAAATCGTTGCAGTGTCGAAATGGCGTCATTATTGTTCATTGGATGAGTGTAGAAATAGGAATACTCACAATAATATATATTTTTTTCATTACCGAAAGGCGAAGAAAGGTAAGTTAATCTTGTGTTGTTATAATTTCTTTATTTTCGATTCTTTATGTCATCAATTCCTAAGAATTTAAGTTGGTTGGCTTTATTCAACGAATTATGAGATATTGAAATATTTAAAATTGTGTCTAATGTAAGAAAATACATAAGTATGTATTTTCTTACATTAGTAGTAAGTATGTATTTTATTACATCACTTACAGAAAATCTTAGAAAATAATATAATAATATAATATATAATAATAATATTTATAATATATTTTCAAAGATTTTCTGTAGGTGAGATTCAATTAAGCGGCTTTTAAATAATTTCTTTCTGTGTTCTACGATCTACTTTATTTTTATTATATCTACCCAATTTTTATTATCGGTACCTAACCTCGGTAAGGACTTTTTTATTTATGGATTTTTTTATTGCCGTGGTATATTAAATAGACGAATCTGATAACCATCATGAATACTAATACAGTTTATAATATTCATCAAGAATAGTAATAATACAACTTATTGGGTCAAAGTGCCACACAACCACATCAATAACCTGGTCTCAAACGAGAGAATTCTATGTACTGTAAACTGAGGCGTAGCTTAGGATGCATAGCGAGAGGTACCTACTTTATGAATATAAACTGGGATAATCTTCAAAACTTGGTTTATTGTACTTTTTCACATATTTTCTAACTCAGGTTACACCTCGAACCATGAAGATGTTCCATTCTTTTTATTTCATCTTTTCGAACACATTCTAAATACAAAACTATATTCACTCAGCCAGTTGTTCTACTCATAGAATAGAGCCTAGACTACAGTACTATAGTATGTGGACTAGAGTAAATAATTTCACTTCGGGGCACAACCCAAAACACCCAGACCAGAGCAAATTTAGTAAAGTTCGTTTCGAAAATTAATCCAACAGGGAATCGAACCGTCGACCTCCAATATAGAGGCAAACTTTCTTCCATCATTTACTAAATAAATAATTGTAATTTCAAAGTCTCAGCCTTTGCGCATTCGGTTCTGCGCTGCACAGTCGCACACGGCGGTCTACCTTGTAAGAGCGCGTGCTTAGGTTTCTATTTCCTCGTAGTGAGCGCTTGGTGTCATTAGTGAGATTTAGTAGGCTACCATAGCGCAGGTATTTTCGATTTTGTATGAGAGTGATGTATCTGTTACGTAGTAACTAATAAGTAGTCTATAGTACAGTTTGTATGTGTAGTATGCGTGCGTGCAGTGTGTTTGTGATGTATAGGTGCATTCAGTGGAATGCTTTACATTCATTGTTGTCGAGACAGCAAATGTATTTCAAAAACGACTAGTGCCGGTGCTTCATAGCACTGGCACTAGTAGTACTATGCTCTTAAATTTTAGATAGACCAGATCAGAAGTGTCAGCTTTTTAGACACAACCAATCTGTGTAAACCGTTTGTGGAGTTTGAAGGACACTATGGAAGGATATTATTATGTTCTATTACTCTTTGGTAGTTATATGTTACGTATCGGGTTATAATTTGATATAGATGCACTAAACATTTTCTACCTGTGTGGGCGAAGGCAGCGGTTGGCAAGGGTTAAAAGTACACTGAGGTCGAGCATAACTAGAATAGAAACTATGTTATTCATAGAGGAGGTGACAAGATTGAGAAGATTCTCGGATAATGTTTTATGCTTAGATTCTTAGTAGATATTAGATTAGATGCTTCTTCTTATTATTTGAAGGTCCTTGTTGGTGGTGTAGTTGCCAACTTTAAGTTCCTGATACGAAATCATATTATTACGACAGATAGATATGCATACCTACTACTAAAAACAGTTAGTCAAGGTACTTGTACATTTGATAATGTGTTATATATAGGAGAATTATAATTATTTGAATTTACATTACTTTTGAACAAACTGTCATTTTTTTGTTATTAGGATTGGTATTCAACTCCTCTTCCACTTAGGCCAAGGCTATTTCTGTGTTGTCTTGTTGCATTCACATGGCTCACATGTCACATATCTCATGATCCGGGAAAACATTTTGATGCCTATCATAAATTTCTTGAATCGCTGTTCACACACAGGGTATTAGCAGCCTAGCAAGGTCGTTATAAAGGGTCGTTTCATCTTTCTCATTGTGAAGTTAATTAAACAATGCTTTTGATGAAATTCCAACAGGGGTGCCGTTTGCATTTATAGTTTTAACCGTACGACTAGGAATATGATTTAAAATCCATTTTTATAAAATA